CGGCTTAGAGCCAAGCAGATGAACTCTGAATTTGACTAAAGCATACTTCATTGCAAGTAACTCTTTGTCATGAACTGGATAGTTCTTTTCAGCTGCTTTCAGCTGCCGGGACTCAAACGAAATGACGCGTTCCCGTCCACCATTATCTGTTTGTAACAGAGCACTGCCGATGGCAAAGTCAGATGCGTCACAGACGACACTGAAAGATCGCTCAGGATCAGGCAAAGCCAATATGGGCGCATGTAGGAGACTCTCCTTATCTGCTTGAAAAGCATCATGCTCAGTGCTAGTCCAGCACCATTCTACATCCTTTTTAAGGAGATTGGTCAATGGCCGAGCCATGTCTGCGTAATTCGCACTGTACTTGTGTAAGTAATTGGCGAGGCCAAGCCACTTACGTAAGTCCTTTTATTTCTTTGGAACCGGCCGTTCAACTATGGCTTTTACCTTGGCGGGATCCGCTCTAAGGCCTTGCTTACCAATAAAGCACCCGAAAAAGGGAATCTCTTCTGCACCAAAAATTCACTTAGACGCGTTGGCGTACAACTTATTCGTGCGCATGCACTCGAGCACCGCTCGTAAATGGTCAATGTGATTATCCACATCTGACCGACCGTTCATAGCACGACTATGGACAAAGATGTCATCAAAGTACGTCTGTGCATAACCTCTGTGAGGTCTAAACAATTGTGTCACAAGACGGTTGAATGTAGCCGGGGCATTTGATAGCCCTTGCGGCATAACGAGCCACTCCCAGAGCATACCGCTTGGAGTGCTGACCGCTGTCAGCGGAATATCGCTTTCTCGCATGAGAAGCTGGTAATAACCATCGACTAAGTCGAGCGCACTGTACATTGTACATCCCACCATATTGTTCTGAAGAACATACTTCCTCGGAATTGGTGTCTGAGCCGGGATGGTGGCCACATTAAGCTTATTGTAAGCATGAACAATGCGCCACTTCCCGTTGGGCTTTTTGACACAGAAGGTCGGTGTGGAATGGGGAGATTTGCTTTCACGAACCATGTTCGCTGCGTCCTTTGCACGAAAGAAGTCGTCTATGACGTCACACTGTTCCTTGGGCAAAGGCCACTACCGTGTTACGCAGTATTTAGTTCCAGGAACCAAGTCAATTTCGTGACGCACACCTCTAGTCAGGAGGTAATACAGACGGTAGGTCGTGACACACCACGTCTTGAAATTCCTTTACCAAAGGATAAAACGGATCAAGAGGATCCTTAAGGATCGAAGATCCACTACGGGCATCCAATGCCGCCTTTGTGTCCTCAAGGACAGACTCGTCCAATAACGAGGATGAGTTCAACTCAATATCAGGCCGAATGACCACTAACTCGGAGAATTCTCCTGCCTGCAAGGCTTGGCTAAATTCGCCGTCAGACATCTCGTCTAGCTCAAAGATTTTATCCACGGATGGAAGAGTCTCAAGACTAATATTGCCATCGATCTGGCCAGTCAATCCATTGACAAGTGTATACAGTGTATTATTACTATTATCACTTCGTGACTTCTTAAACGTTGGGCGCTTAACAGTCACCACCCTACGCTTCGATTGTTTCCTCAAAGAAACCTTACGCCTCTTAGAGGCCGGGACAGCAAAGTCCCCATGGTTGCTATTCATCTTAGCACGCTCTATACGAGAGCTCATGTCTTGAGCGACATCTGGTGAAGTGTTACGTAACTCGAACACTTCACCCAGTGGATTTACACGTACCACTTCACGTAAATTATTCGGGCCTAGCCCTAAACACTCTGGCTTCTCGCCAACAATGTCATTACCGACATTCAGTGAGGTGCCACCTCGGCCGCCCTCACTCTGTGTAATTTCACGTGCCACCGCACTTATAGCATTAGGGCCTAGCCCTGAACACTCTGGCTTCTCGCCATCAATGTCATTACCGACATTCAGTGAGGTGCCACCTCGGCCGTCCTCACTCTGTGTATTTTCACGTGCCACCGCACTTACATCAGAGGAATTACATTCTTGATGTTTCGGCCCTAGGCCAACCATGCTTGACGCATGCAGTGACTCAGTATCACAACGAGTATCACTCAACGGAGTATAACTCTCTCCAAACGCGTTAGAAGAGCTCCGCTCAATATTTATGTCATCGACATGCGAGTTAAATAACTCTGACATATCAATGTCCAGCACATTGACATCTTCCGTCAATGGCTCGCGCCAATAGCGCTTTTGTTGCCTAGCAAAGGTGGGTTCATGACTCTCCAAAGCTTCGCTAGGAACATTGCGCGCGGCGCCTAAGGTCTTAGACCTCCAATCGATCCATGGTTCATGGCGTTCAAGCCATGTCATACCCACGATGAGATCATATCTCGAATCCAAATCGAGGACGAGACAACGTTCAATGCTGTCAAAGTCCAAAAACTTCACACCTAAGTTCAACGGAACTTTAGGCACCGTGACGCGACTACCAGTCGCTAAACGAACGGTGATCGAATCACCTTCGTGCGCTTTGAGCGCTTCAGCGTATCGCTGACTTCCCTCAAGGGAACGACGTCGAGCATAGTTACATGATGCTCCTGAATCGATTAATATCGACCACGGCTTCTCAAAGCCTTTTACTGTCGCCTCGGCGACTAACAAGCCAGGCTTGTATCCACGCTCTGTGCTGGCTGGCACAGCGCTAAGTGGGGCTAAGCCCTGTTTCACTTTATCTCGTAGAGATGTGACAGAACTTAGTTCTACCCCAGTAGGGCGCCCCGCGCCTACTGGGTGTCGACGTTTCCCCGTGCTATACCAGGTTTCTTGTTGAGGCTGGGGTTTCGACTCATAGGAGTCGGTTGTTGCTTACGCAAAGGACAAGTGGGACGCAAGTGTTTAGTGCTTCCGCACATGTAACAGCGTCTCACATCCTGTCGTTGCTCGGCAACATGAAGCTCCGCTTCGCCTTCATCTTCAGCATGGCTGAGATCCATCGGTTCTGGCTTACAGTAAGCCGAAGTCCTCGCAGAGGCCGCCCTCGCAAAGCTTGGGTTGTACCCATTCCAACCAAGTCTGGCCGACTTGAAGTTGTGCTCAGCATTTTGAGCGACGCTCACAGCTTCCTCAAAAGTAGAGGGATGAACCCGAAAAACCTCGGTTCTGGCCACGCCAGTGCGGAGACCTTCCATGAAGACTGTCACGTAGACAGTCTCAGGGAGAGGGTCAGACTGCATAGCAGCCATTAGAGTTCTCAACTCTTGGACATAGTCCGTTAACTCGCTCTTACCCTGACGGGTTGATAAGAAGCGTGATCGCACGCGATATGCCTGGTTATGCGGCGAGAAAACTCGCATGAGGTCTAACTTGAGCGATTCCCACGTGTGAAATGCCAAATTGACCGACGTGCCACACGTCAAAGCCCACTCTCTAGCTCTACCATCGAGCTTAGAGATGGCCAAAGAGACCCGCTGGTTCTCTAGTGAGATGAGACCAGAGTCCATGGCCATCTCTATCTCACGGATCCAGAGGGTCAAGTTTTCCCCCTCCTTCCCGGAGTAAAGTTTAACGTCCACCCGAAGGGGACGAGGCTTAGCCTCTTCTGGTGGCATAGCCACGTAGCGTGTCGGCATAGCCGACGCTACCTGGTTGTGGACCTGGCCCAACAGGGCCGTTTCATACTGCATAAAGGCCTCGACTCGTGCATTGAGCACATCGGGACCCTGTGCAGCTAGAAATTCCACATACTCTAGGCCTACGGCCGCGGTCATCTTATCAAGCGCGACCTTTTGAGCATCAGAGAGGGGTGTGGACTGCTCCATCCTCGCAGACGATCAGTCGTTACCGACTCAGGCGTAGATTGACTACGAGTGCTACCAAGTGTAGCGGAGCTACACAGCTCCTTAAGTCAGAGGAAGACTTTACGCTCAATGAGCAACTTTGGTTCAAAGAACCCGACTCAGAGAGTCAACAGCTCAGAGAGATTAAAGGGTGGTTCAGATAACCCGACTCAGAGAGTCAACAGCTCAGAGAGCTTACGGTCCCCGTTCCAGAGGGACCAAACGATTCAAAATAATCACAGCACAGAGTGCTCGAGGACAAGCTACCTTTACAGGCGTTGCTTCTGTCCTCCCGTTCAAAGACGCCTCGTAAGGCACGTGTCTTATGTTGATCAAAATGGGAACTGAATTTTATTTCTTCATTTAACCTAAAAGAACACCTTAGAACAACGTATTTAACCTGCCCTAAATAACCTCTTAAAAGATCTTGCAATCAATTGATGACAGACACCAGTCTTCAACAATTGATACGCTCACTGTGTTCTAATATTACCTTATAGGATACCCCCCTCTCGTGTGTGCACCACACCAATCGTCGGCTACCAGCCGACGTGTAACCCCGTTACAATGTGTCTCTTCAACGTGTTGCAACATCGCTCAGGAGATTGCCACAGCGTTGACAAACAGCATCATTTGTGACGCCTGTCCTCGTGCGTCGCTTTCGTGCAATGGTCTAACGATGCATGACTTGAGATCTAGCGTTTGCTTTACGTCTGAGCGCCAGTACACGCATGCTACGCGTGCTCCTCCATTAGTGTCTCGTTTGACCAGGATCTTGCATGCCAGCGCAAGTGGTTCTTGCCTTCCAGTCTGACTTTTGGCAGCATCAAAACAGGCTCGTGCGCAGGAAGTACAGGTACCGCAATGACAGTGAAAGGACAATCGACGCAGCTACTGGTTGTAGGAAGGTCTCCTCGTGGTACACGTTGCCACTGACCGCACGAATGCCCATCACATGAGTGCAGTGTCCTACTGATCGCAAGTTCGTTCGAGCTATGACACCACGTACTGGACGTAATCCAAAAAAACTGCCCTTGCGAGGCTACGAACAGCGATAAACTTACAAAGGCAAATTCAGCATAACAAGGCGCGACGAGCTTTTTGTGTCGCTGCGGGGTGCGCCATCGCTTGTGAGGTGGTACACACAAACCAGAAGACAGTGCCAAGTTGGCGGTCTCGGCCTGCAATCCAGCATCGGCATCATGACTGACTCGCGGACACACCTTTCGGTGCGAGCATTCGAGTTTGACGTCGAGGAGCCCGAAGAAGAGGACACGCACAGAAACGACTACATTAGTGATGCAGACAGAGGCACGGTCGTCAAGCCGCTGCTGCTTCGGGAGGCCGTTGTTGCTGACGCTGGTGTTTCGATGCATTACCCGACGACCGCAGGCTCGGGGCTCCCCACAGACCCGGACGTCGTCTTTGGGATGAGCCATTCGCATTTACTGGCACCCGCACCGATTTGTAGCACTGTGGTGGGCTCAGATCCTGGACCTTCTGTTGCGAAGAGTGTGATGACTGCGCTGTTGGCTGGTAGCCCGCAGAGGCTCTCAACGAGCGACGTGCACGGCAGAGTCAAGTCGCCGCTTGCTTACGGCACCGACGTCTCGACACCGCAGCGCCACTCGATTTTGCGCATGAACGCTGGCTACAGGGAGAACAGCCGTCATATACTGAAGAAAAGCGCGTCCGTGGAGTTTGCCATGAACTACGACCACGAGCAGGTAGCGCCGAGTATTCATGCGAGCGCGCCTTTTATTGGACGAGAGCCACGGTGAGCCGCGTGGTGAAGAAAGAGTAACTGGTTGTTGTGATTGGTGCTGATTGAGCGTACGTTTGATTGCTGTGCCTTTGATGCTGCACAGACGTCTGACGTTTGAAGAGAAAGCAGAGCTGTATCGAGTTCGCCCTGATCTTGAGATCGGCGTAGCCCCTTTTTGCACCGAAAGCGCCGACGAAGTCAACCGCAGGAATCAGCGCCGCGTCGTCTTCTCCATATTTGGCGGCATGATCTCTATCATAATATTGCTCGTCTTCGTCTCCATGTGGGACCAGAACAAATGAACGTGACCGCTACGCTGTACAAATGCTGGACACAACAGTTTGGGACGAACCGCTCCAGATGGAGGCTGGAGTCTTTTGTGACAGGTCGAAAGTCGCGTGCGATCCTTTTGCCGGGCAACTCTTTGCTTCGTGCACAGCACGTACTTGCGGGGACGACTACGACGTCATGACAGAGTTGTCAGTTTGTGCTGCAAGAAAGCGGCGACGAATGCGTTTCAAACCAACTTGAGCACTTTGCATCATCCGGTCAATGCACTGTCGTGGTACTTGTATCCCGGACGTCGTTTTTATACTAGCTGCAACGTTGTGCGTTTCAATGCAGCATGCAGTAATAAACACCATTTCGGAAAACGAGCCGCGACTAACGTGCCGGTTGACCGACGACGAGGTGTTATTGTATCGAGTACATACCGTTACATTAGGACAAGTGCCCCGACTTCGTATTTTTCATGCATGCATGCTCCTATATTAGGACAAGTCAACGATACTCCCCTTCAAGCCGCACTGCACACAGTCGTAGTGCCTTGTCAATACCAGTGGACGCGAAGCCGCTACAACTACTGCTGCCTCAACCGACATGCGGCTGATCACCCACAACTTGCTCACGTGCAACAAAAAGGGCGTGAAGAACGGCTATCCTCTTGGCCTCGATGTTGATGAGGTGGAGGTAGTGACCTGCGACTTTCAAGCCGCTTTCGTGCGCAAGATGCTGACCAAGCTGGACTGGAGTGCATTCCTCGCTGGTGCCAAGGCTCTAGAGGTCGCAGATGGTCTTCCAGAAACAATACCGAGCGCAGAGGAAGGAGCGATGGACGACGAGACGCTGCGCAAGATTCACCATGCTCTACTAGAGGTGCACGTGAAGCAGGGCAAGCTCGTTTGCCCTGAGTCTGGCCGTGTGTTCCCTATCATTGATGGCATCCCCAATATGCTGCTGAACGAAGACGAGGTCTAAGAATGACATTAGTAAATGAGTTGCTGCTCGATCAGTCGTTGGTATCGATATGCTCATTGTTACACCGCTTCGTTCAGACGGTCAGATAATAGTCGGCTACCACGTTCTCGCAGGTCTGGGCAACAGCCGTCATTCGCTCACTTCGCGCGTCAGTCTCTCGCTCGTACTGCAAGTGTCGATACTACGACAACGCATCGGATGCCATCAGATGACTAAATCTGCCGGCTTTTGGAAGTGATCCGTTCTGCGCTTGGCGTCGTCGTAGCTGACATCGATCACAGGTAATCGTCAGCTTTACTGCCACTCTGGTAGAAGACAGCTTGAGCGCCACGTACCGGTCGTCGTCGCCATCATCGCCGTCGCTGTGATCGTCCTTGCCGGATGACCGTAGTTGTGCCACGGCCTTGATCCACTGAATGCGCAGCTCAAAATCGCCTTCCTTCTGATCAGCGATGGCAAAGCCGACCTATTGGCACCAAGCCGAAACCCACGAGAACATGATGATACGAACAGTTGATGTCGTTGAGTAAATGAGCAATCGTACACTTTTGAGCTGGGAAGGATCAAGTTCCGTCTCATCGTCAAGTTTTACAAAGCCCTTCGCCGTCAACAGGAAGTCACGGAATGGCAGCTACGGGAAACATGACTCAGTTATCATCGACAAAAAAACGATGGCGCAAAATACGCGTGCACGCACAGTAACGTCAACCCATTTATTGGGCGGCGTCCTGATGAACCCCTAAACCAAATAAAAAGACATCCGATACGTTACGCTTTCCATAAGCATTGGCCACAACGACACTTTCCGTACCATGTACAGGTTGAACGGATTCCAGCTCTCCATCTGCACATTCATGCGATACTCGCGCCCATCCGTCATTATTCGCATTGCAATCCCTTCGTAGCCGTGCAAGAGCAGGTCTGGTGGGACAGATGCCCGCACCGCGCAGTAGCCACTTCGAACTACGCCAATCTCCGTCGGCTGGCAATCCATATTGAGCCGTCCAGTGAATACCGCTAGCACGCCCATGTCGCATGTTAAAACAAATTCGATACGCGCAAGCACTCATAGTCCAACTCTTCTTCAGCCTACCGGATGGGACATTATCCTGGCTATTCACTTTGTGGATAAGCCTCGTCGAACGCTTCTCTTCATTGCTCATTTCTTTGCTATCTTCTGCAGGTGCACCCGTGAAGAACCCCCATCGGCACTCCGACAGTCCTGTGAAAAATCACACCGATAGCAAATCCCACAGCAACGAACATCAGAATACAATTACAACAGCGGCTCCGTCACAAGCGCTTTTGCCACAGCATCCACAGTTCACCCAAAGTCGCATTTTGCAATTCATTACCTCCAATCGATCGGTCGCTTGTGGCTGTCCACTCCGCGACTGCATCGTTAGTATTGAACAGGAATATGTCCTTCTCCGGCTGGAGCTTGAGTCGAAGACCGAGAGCTACGAATAGAATCAAACAGCACACAGACCGTGTCACGGCACAGAACGTTTCCAGATTCGTCAGAAACCTGAACGTTGGCTCATGCAATCAAACGTCACCCGCCGCACATTGTTTAGAACGCAGGAGCGTCGCGTGCACCGACGTCAACGCTTTGCGCCACACTCCCATGGGGTCCACGAGCTCTTTTTTTCACAAATACTGTCGTACCGGTGGCGTGGTACACTGCGTACTTAGTCGCGAGCTTTGCGAACTTTTGCTCCATCACATCCCCGACGTCGTCATTCGAACGAGACCAATCGACGCGGCTGGAAGAGGCAGGCGAAGCAGACGAAGAAGAAACAGAAGCAGACGGAACGCCATGAGTCTCCACCTGCCCAAGCACCACTGGGGTACTCGAGGCATGGATGTGTACGAGAAGCTCGAGTGTATTGGGGCTGGCACCTACGGGTAGGGCTCCTTTCTCACTGTGCTTTGTCATCTAGTCGAGGAAGCAGTGTCGCTTGACCTGCGTTACCGGTACATACATCGTGGGATCATTCACTTTGTGCCGGTTTTGGCCGAATGATGGCTGCTTGCGTCTGTAGCCAAGTCTACATGGCCAAGGACAAAGCGACGGGCGAAGTCGTGGCCATCAAGAAGATCCGCAGTCTCAATGAAGTTCAAGGCGTGAGTTTTGCGGCCTCTTTTTCCCTGCAGCGATTTCGCTTGTAGGTGACACAGAGACGTGTACGCCGTATATGTATTTGGTGTGCTGTAGCTGCCGGTGACTACGATTCGAGAGATCAAAGTGCTCAAGTGTCTGAGTCACCCGAATCTCGTGGAACTGAAGGAAGTCGTAGTGTCAGCTGAAAACGACGATGACGACGGTGAGACCAGCTGAGCTGACTATGGCATACAGCTGTCTGAACGGGGAGTTGGTTGTTATTGTGAATCGGTAGCCGAGTTTACAGACAAGGACGAGCCTCTGGACTATTGTCATGGATCAATTTATTTGGTGCTGGAGTACCTTGAACACGACTTGACGGGTCTTATCGATCGACAGCATCCGTGCGTCACTTTACTAGCAAAATTGGAGATTGTGATGTTTGGCACTTAGTTGAGAACTTGTTGCTTTTTGTGCTGGCAGATTTGACGATACTGAGATCAAGTGTCTGATGAAGCAGTTGCTCAATGTCATGAAGTACATGCACTCCCTTGACATCATCCATCGGTATGCAGGCTACTGTGCATTGCGTTTTATTGGCCTGACGGAATGGAACTGATATGCGGTGTGTGCCCACTTATCGTGTGCAAATAGAGACATCAAGTGCTCCAATTTGCTGATGACTAGAGATCATTTGCTCAAGGTGGCCGACTTTGGTCTAGCCCGTTCCTTGCGCGGAGACCAGCTGTTCACGAACAAGGTCGTGACGCTATGGTATCGGCCGCCAGAGTTGCTTCTGGGTGCCACGAGTTACGATGCTAGTATTGATATGTGGAGCGTCGGTTGCGTCTTTGCCGAGCTGTATATTGGACACCCGATCTTTCAGGGCAAGACGGAACTCGAGCAAATTACTAAGATTTTCGATGTTTGCGGAACTCCGACCACCGAATCGTGGCCTGACTACAAGTTCTTGACGCACAGTAGCACATTTGTTCCCGAGAAGCCCAAGCCCAGGCGGCTGCGTGAGTTCTTGATGCGCGAGGCAACTGCGCGCAAGAGGATACTACCTAAGGGTGCTCTCGAGTTGATTGAGGCTCTTCTTGTGCTGGACCCGGAGCAGCGATTGACGGCTTCAGACTGCCTGACTGCGCAGTATTTTAAAGTTCGTCCCTACCCTCCAGAAGATCCGAAAAAGTTGCCTCCTATCACCAATCTGCCGCCGTCACACGAATATCAGACGAAGAAGATCCGTCGTGAACAGGCAAAGCAGCTGAACGGTGGAGGGGCAAACAGTCAAAGCAGCAACAACACAGGGGCTGGAGGTGGGCGTAACTCACGGCCCACCAGTAAATCGGTGACGGGTGGTGGAGGTCGCTCGAGACAGAGTACCGCGCGAGATGTGGCAGAAGTGCCTGTGAAGACCGAGGTGAAAAGAGAGGAAGACTCGGTGTTGTCAGCCAAAAAGAGGCGGCGTATGGCGTGAGGTCACTGAATCAACATTTGCGGTGCACGGCGTAAGGTCACTGGAAAACGATTACGGTGCATGGCTTGAGGTTGCTGTATTGACTATAGCGGCAATCGCGTCAACAATAGCGATGTATGGCTTGAGATCACTGTACATAGCGAGGCGAGAATGGCAGGCTAGACAAGCAGTTCGTGTGACGTGTCACCGCGTGAAGGATGCAAAGAATTTACAACAAAGGCTTATATAATTGCACCGTTCGTGAAAGAGTTTTTTGTTGTTGCAGACCACGAAGGCAATGGGACCGGCATTCGCAGTGAGGAAGTGGCGGGTTGAACTAGCCAATCTATGGAGAAAGCAGTAGCCGGTAGAACCGGTATTTGTTGTTCATCCTCGACTGTCATGGTGGGATCGTGATCCTGACAATACTGCTAGCCTCCTGTGCATTGTAACATATGAATCGAGGCATGCTAAGTGAAAGAAGAGACAACGGCTGAAGCCTCATGCTGGAACTTCGAGACTCGCGAAGTGGGAAGCACGAAAATTGGCAAAAAAGTCGGGACACCGATCTGCCAGGTGCCGATAAAAGCAGTGATGATGAGTTGATGCAACTGCAAGCGTCGCTCATATCAATTACGTAGACACACAGCTGCATGTGTCGCTTACTCAATTACGTAGGCAGACGATGGAACCCGAAAGCAAGTTCAACAGCTATTGCGTGCAAGCAGCAAAATCTGATGACTTAAGTGACAGGCAACACGACTATTGGAGCAGGTGAGGCAGGATTGTTTTGCGGTTGACATTCGACGAGCCGATATACATCCTCAAATGCCGTGTATTTGCTGGCATCCCCCGTCAGGTGCTGATCGATGCGGCTTGCGTGATAGGCTCACTTACACACTTTCGACACGGAATGCATAGGCTGACTGATGTTGGAAAACAGAAGAACGATCTGCTTTCAACTAGTCTTAACGTTCCCTCAGCCAAGTTGCTGAGGGACACGCCGACTCGAATGAACTTGTATATCAGCATGTACTTCAACACATATGAAGGAGCGATCAATGCTGTAAACTGAGGTCTCACGACGGATCAATCTGCTCGACAGGTTTATAACTTTGTTACCACTCACCCCAATCGTCATTCGACTTCGAATCTGTACCAAAGGGGAACTCGTTCTTGCCATTATCAGTAAACACAGACACGGACGACGTTGGTGAGCACAGAGATTGTCCGTCGGCAAGCAAAATGTCGTCTAGCGAATTATCAAGCAGGTTTTCTGCGTTTCCGTCCACATGATCGGCACAATGAATCGCACTCTCGTGAAAAGCTCGGAACATTCCGAGCTCAGCCTTTAGTACACCCATTTCACTCTTGACTTCAGCTTGCGCCTTCTTGTATCCCTCCCGGAACGCGACATCTCGGACTTGCTTTTCCCGTTGTTCGGCTTCAATCTTGCCAGCCTCAACACCTTTTTCATATGCTTCGCGAGCTCGAGCTTCAGAATCGGCCAAAGCATTTGCTAGCTGCACTTGCAGCTCGTTCATTCGAGTCTGCAGTTTGCCGTGATCGTCCGAGTGGCTGAATTGCACAACAGTCGCGGATAAATGAGACCCTATCGACGCAGTTTCAGCACCCACGTCGCGCTGCTGACGCAACGTCGTGAGTTCAGTCTGCACGAGGTCTTTGAGTTTCTTCATCTTGACGGCTCTCGCCCGCCACACGTCCCGTTCTTTCGTCACATCGGCAAGCGCTGCACCTTGCGTCTTTTCCGCCAGCAACTCGTCTTGCTTTCCTTGCTCGGCAATCCGCTCACGTGCAGCTTGCAATTCCCTTTGCAGATCTTCCTTTTCGTTTGTCAAAGCAGCCACTCTTTCATCAGCCGCAGTATCGAGCACACGCTCCGACATCTCTCTTCGGAGCTGTGCCATGTCCTGATCCGCCTGTTGTCGCACGCTCTGCCCAACCCCGTCACTCGCGCGCGCTCCTTCGTCATACCCTGCGGTCCAGGCCGCATCAACTCGCGCGGCCACTGCCGCCATCCTTGTCTCGTACGTATCGCAAAGCGCTTGGAGCTGTTTGTCCCACTCCTTGCGCGCTTTTTGCTCCCTGGCATCGTAGCTCTGCTTGGTCTCCTGCAATTGACAGTGCAGGTCCCTTGCTTTCTGCTGCCACTGCGCAACTGCACTGTGGTCTGCCTCGTCTGCTTCTCTCAAAAGCCGTGCGACTGGCCCGAGGTCCCCCCGGTCCCCTCGTCGGTCTACAGAACAGGAATATGACCGCGGTGGCGGGTCGTCCTCCGGGCTGTGCTTCCCGTTGCGAGTCCAACCGTCCGCTCGCGAGTCCCCACAGCTCTGCTCTCCTCCCTCCAGTGCCTTGTCACTGTCACTTGCAACTCGTTTCGGCTTCACCTGCTCTGCCACCTGTTGCTGACGGAAAAAGTAGCGGCACCAGAACTCGTCTTCGCTCAGCTCCAGCGGCACAACCGCTTCGTGCAGCAAACAGACCTCTGCGTCTTCGCTCGTCACGCGCGCAATGTCGCGGGCCACCGCTTCGAGCGCAAAAGCGCTCGAGAACTCGCGGTAGGCGGCCAACTCCTCGTACAAAATGTCGTCCACGGGTCCAGTGCGGGCGGCGCTCCGGACGCGCTGCACGAGCGTCGAGGCTTCGTCCTGCACCGCAGCTGCAATCGTCTGCGCCTTTTCGTGGACGGCGCTCGCGTAGGTGGCCGCGTTGGCCGACGCGCTCTTGACCGCGAGCTCGAGGAGCTCCCACATGTTCGTTCGTTCGTTCGTCGCCGATAATTTGTGGTGCAAGGAGGTGATGGGTTCACTTTTTATAATGGGCCAGCGTGTCGAATGAGATGGAGATGGGTTGGGAATTCCGGAGAAGTGGTCGTGGTCAGTTTAGTGGGGGGATGCACGACCAGTGTAGTAACGGGATCCTCGAACGAATGTTCGGTTTTTTCGCAGCAGGTCCTGCTGTGTTGTTCGCTGCGAATGGCATCGGTGTTTCGGACCAGACCTGCGCGTTTGTTGTAATACCTGACCTAAATGCTCAACTACCGAAGAGCAGGATAGGAAGGCTTGTGAGCATAAGCCGTCCGACTCTGCTCTTTGGTCGTTTGCTGGCTGATCTCGTAAATAATCGGTTATGTAAATTTAAAGGCCCCGACTTGGGGCACACTCGCCTGCTTAAAATGATCAAAAGAACCTCACATTTTATGGTGCAAAATAAGTTAAACACGTATATACTTACTACTTATCGATATATCCCTATCCTAAACGGTAAATGCACTTATGCGCGACATTTGATTAGTCCATCTTGGCCAGGGCGGTATCCAAACGAACAATGCCTGCTGGGATCTCTGCTGTCTCGAAGGCGGTATACAATCCAATGGTACGATGCCAAGATCTGAACATCGCCAGTGTCAACGACATCCGAGTTCCTTTGAGCTCATTGTCACGAGTAGTTTGTAGCCGGGCCCCCAAACGATTTTCACGAGTCGAGAGCGTAAAGTCGTCGCGGACTTTGCCGAAGATTTTTACATGACACACGCCGCTAACGTGGAGATACTTCTGCAAGCGTGGAACAAACTTCGCACGCGGCAGGAGGCACGCAAGTTGAGAAAGCTCCCAATTGAACGTTCGGGTATTGCGTGCAAATTGTGGTATAGCTTGCACATTTGGCCGACGTTACGGCTTGGCATGTGGACGAAAGAGGAAGACACAGCGTTTCTTTGGTTGGTCACAGGACAAGAAGACCTAGATCTGGTGAAAAAGTGGCAAGATATTTTAAAGAGCATGCCCGTGCCGGGAAGACAAGCAGCCCATTGTTATACTCGGCACAGACAGCGCTGATCGCGGTAAACACGCGGTCAATTTTTACGCCAGAAGAAGATTAGATATTGCGTAAAGCGGTCCCGGTCTTTGGCGAAAAGTGAAACGTGGTTGCAGATTTGCTGGATGGCCGTGTGTCGGAGCAGATCCGCCATCGATGACAGCTCTCGATTGCACCAGGTCTTCGGCAAGGCAAGTTTTCACTTCGTGCATAAGTGCCCAGAGGCAGTGAGTTCAACCGGGATCAAGTGCTATGGAACGACATTTGCCATCATGTACGCGGGCGTACGCAGCCAGTGCTGCAGGACCGATACGTTGATTGCATTAACCTGGACTCGTCGTCCCGTAAGTTCACCAAGCAGAAAGATGAACTCATTCTTACAAGATAGCGCGAGTGAGGCATCGAGTCGCCCAGACTCTGGCCGCGTTTTGCTGCTTAGCTAAGTGGCCGCACAACATCTCAACTGTGTCGTCGCTCGAGACAATTGGATCCAGACGCTTATGACAAACGTCGTCGCGCACTTAAAGCTGCAAGCAAAAGCCAGACAACAGCCGTCTTCCGTCGCTCATAGAACATCATCATGCCCATCGATAGCTCGATCTAGACGAGGAAGGTACAAGACCGTAAAAATATACGCAGTTGTTACAATGACGCCACGTACTGCAAGGGCTTGATTACATTGTGTATATCGGATCAAAAAAGAAGCGAATAGGGCCCTTCAGCTCACTGTTACTGATCATATATGGTGCCGAAGCGTTTGCTTCGTGTCGTCCAGTTTATCGGAGGATCACCAAAAGTTGAAGTCATAAAGTTTGGCAATCACAGTTTTGTGATGTTTAAATTGACATAGACTCTTAAAGTCTTTTAATTTATAACTTGAGAGGTGAAGTCCCAATAATTCCTTGACCTCTCAAGGCTACATAAATCTTACGTCATAACAAGCACAAGCGCGCAAGTGTCGTGCACCACACATGTGCACCTGACTCTCATCGCTAAATAGACAAACTTATGATGCTTTCTTATTCAGCAACGATGTTCGACCTAACTTATGCACTCCGTTTGAGTAGGGCTAACCTGTATGAAATAAAACATACATTTTCGTGCGTGGCTGAAAAGCGCCATGGGCCAACTGCTATGTACAGCGTGCGACGTCGATGGTAAGACACTTAATTTCCAAGCCGAAAAGGTCCTTCGTTCACGTGCTGCTTATCACCCTCTCAAAAAATTGTCTAGCATGATGGCATCAGCCGCATCAACTTTCATCTATGGACCTAGATTATCGATCAAGATCAAGCTTCATGATATGCAACATCAAATGGTATGCGACATTATCACGGTCACACGATGCACACGAACGTACATTAGTTCAGCTTGCTAACGCCGAAGTTGTCGGTCATCTCGGCCCACTCCTTGGTCAAGTCTTTCGTAGAAGCCGAACCCGGCGAGTAGCCGATGATGTTCGGATACGATTCCATTGCCTCTAGGGCGAGAGCTTCATTGCGTGACGTGAAGCTGCCGCTGTTCACCCGAACGTTAGCCTTACACGGTCGACCAAGGTAGCTTGTACACAAGTCCGCATCGTCCATGCCGTTGTACGCGTGCAGATCTCCTTTCGTACCCGGAAGCAAAGGCTGGGTCATGTTATCGAAATGATTACTTCGGCGAGAACGTGTCCGCAGGAGTCGACATTAAAAGCGTGGCTTAATTTGTCGCCCCAATAGTTGTTAACGGCGTGCACAACGACGTTATCACCTTCCACGCCACCGACTTTGGGTGACCGACCCAAGGTTCCATGCACGTAATCGTTGACCATGGTGACGGCCGTTTTTCTTTCGTAGATAAGCAAATTCTAGTAGTGATGGCCGTCGCAAGAAGACAAAAAGTCCGTGCGTCCGTCGAAGTCCGAGTTGCTGATGGTCATTATAGCCCCACCAGCACTGGCCGTCACGACTATTTGGCGGCCGACGCGACATACCTTCACGTGGCCGGACCAGACGTTGTTGACCACCGTATGCCACCATTAGAGCCCGGTATAAAGATCGCGCCACCACCCCACACCAAATGCAGATTCAGTTCCGTGATATGGACGTTCTGGATGATCACGTTGTTGAGTAGTGACAGTCCCTTGTCGATCGGCACGCCGTTCTTGCCAATACCACGGATGGTCTTGTTGTCTTGAACGAGCACGCGTCTGATAGCAGCGTTTTCGTTTGTGACCGTCACATTTGTGCCGTTGATGCACCCGCCTGTGTTTTCCATGCCACCTTTTGACGGGATCACATCTTGACCCTGAAAGCCGTTGCGCGCCGCAATGCACTGGCGGGTTTTAATCGGTCGGCAACCGACCTCGGTGGTCGTGCCTTCAGTTTCATGAAAGCCAAGAGTCCGGTTGAGGACAACTATAAGCGGTTTGGTGTCGTTCAGGTACGCCACAAGCTCGGCGTTTGAAGTGGGGTGCACGACGTTTCCGCCAGATCCTACCGTCGTGCCAGCGCCTAGACCCGCGGGAGAGCTAACAGTGAAAGCGCCTGCAGCTTTTTTCGCAGCAAAGTGGAGAGCTGCGGCGAAGTTGTACAGGTACTGGATGCGGCACATCTTCAAGATATCACGAGCCGTGGTGCTTTGTTGCGTTAGCCCGAGACAAGGGAATGGGTGTACTGCACTGCATGGTAACTTAGAAATGACTACCTAACATCGAATTTGCCATGTAGAGGAGCGCACAGGCTCCGTATTGATGTTGAATAGCAGGGTGGACGATTTCGGAGCTCCGCATACGACCGTCGTCGGCCATGCAGGTGTTGAATGGGCCAACCAGCAGGGAAAATGTCAGCAAAACTAGAGGGTGGTCGCATGCAGTGTAACGGGGTAGCCCGTTACATTTAATTGTCATTAAAGAGAAGATGACAATAAATAATATTATGTTGAATATTCTTTAATCAATATAACAAGTATGGTGATATTGGCGGGATGACCGAAGAGTCTACCCATTGGTTGATATCTTGACGATATTAACCCACCAATCGCTGCAAGACGCGCGCAATGGACGGTGAGTAGACGTCATCATACATTCAGTTACATTGGCATAATTAAGTCAGGACAAACAAGAGAGACAATAGCACAAGACTTAATGATATTAATATAACAGTTCTACTTTTCCCTCAAGACAGAGTTTTCGGGTTCTATTTTGTCTACGCTTCCTCGGTTGCCCTGTGTACGGTTGTCGGGCACACGTCACCCTTGCGTTAAGTTCACGCAAGGTGTGTGCCCCGTTACACCTGGTAGCACTTTGTAGACCTTCCAGCGACCAAGAATCTCATCCATCATGAACATGTTAGATAAGGAAGAGAGCTTTCACGTCACACGTGAAGGCTATAACCATTTGAGTGATCTCGGATGGGCCGCGGTAGGGCGATTGTGCTCTATCGTGGGCGACACCGGCGTTACCGCCATGTTGGAGTCTCTAGACAGAGACCAATAACATGCCGCTATAGCCAAGTTCATTCAACATGAACTTGGCGCTGAACGGGAGAAAGTAGCCTTGCTACATCAGAAAGGCTCTAAACAGGCCGAGCACTTGAGAAAACTCGGTGCTTCACAGACCTAGCTGTTCAGACAGCAGCAATTTAATGCTGCTGTGGGCGGGACGACACATTCGCGTCGCCCCGAAATCTTGAAGGTGAATATCTCCATGTACTGAGAAGTCGAGGAAGACTCTCTGTTTTTATGGTTCGTCTAACCCGACAGAGCCCTAAGGGCACGTCGCATCATCGATGAGCAAATGAAACTAACATTTGCTCAGTCCCACTTGGCGGGACGTGCCAAGACTCGGGCCTTAGGGCTGGGGATGAGCGACCCATATGCTTTTGAGTCGCTCGAGTTCTTTAAGAATCGGCTCAAACGTACGTTTGAACCGCCACGGGCTAACTTCAGGGATCGGATCTGAGCTTCTGAAGCTCAAACAGGGTAAGCGTGACTTGCACACTTACGCCGGACATATACGACTCCTTCCGGGTAGTATAACTACCAACCCGGTTCATACACACACGTCGATTACTGTGTTCATGCAAGGGCTCGCAGAAGGGTCCGTCAGAAAGCTTCTGTTCCATCTGGATTTGGATACTTTAGAAGATGATATCTCAGCAGCGGTACAGTAGGATTTTAGCATGAGACACGCTCATGCTAGCTCAAACTCATATCGTCCACCGAGACGATAAGAGACCGGAGGTCCAGAACCAATGAACCTCTGCTATGTTGAGAGCGAGAGACCTCGCTCTACAAACAACAAGCGATTGCAGAAGTGCAATCGCTGTCAGAAGTTAGGGCAATACGCATATGAGTGTAGTGCTCCACGCCCAGTACCAAACAGTACTGAGCGAAATGGACGACCATTCGCCAAAAGGGCAATGGGCGTGGGTCCAGCGCTTTTACGAAGCCGTAATAGCGGAACGAACCATCAAAAAATGGACGGGGTCAGTAGGGGAGGAGCGCCCTACTGATCCAGCGACCTCAAGAGAATTTGCAAATCTCTTGACGAAAGTTGCTCCAGACACACAGTCATTGTGTGTCTCTGCACCTGGTGATGAAGTTTCGCTCATCACCTTGAAGTTGGAAGTGACAAAATATATGTCACTTCGTGCCCTAGTAGACTGTGGGGCGTCGAACACCTTTGTTTGTCGCCAGTCGCTAGAGGGTCGTAGGCTCAAGTTCATTGAGCGCGACATTCCCCTCACAAGGATCACGGTGCGCCTTGCAACAGGCGCATCGATTACCGTTAAGAAACGTGTAGTGAGAATCTAGTACACGTTAGAGGGCGAACAGTACGATGATGATTTCATCGTACTAGATTTGGATGAAAAATTTGATGTCATCCTGGGATTACCTTGGCGCAGAAGGTACGAGCCAAGCGTGAGCTGGCAGCATCGATCCGTGAAGATGCCTGCCACTTGTTCTTCAGATGTCCATCTGATGAACATCTTGGAGCGTCCACAAGCGTGTGGATGTTCTGCGAGTGAGTGAGATGGCCTCACTTGCGGTTCGGTCGTTCGCACGACTGCACAAGATCACAGTGTAGTTAATCACTACTACACTATGGAGCAAGCTCCCGGCGGCTGTACAGGAGTACAGGCTGCGCCGAAGGTCCACCACTCGAAGAAGTCGAGTGGACCGGGAAATGGATGCATGCCTAGCGGGCAGCATCTTAGAGAGAAGAAACCTGTTGCCATCAAAGGGCAACATGGAAATCCTAGGTCGACTGGAGCGTCGACCGTAGAGGATCGGTGCCTGACTGTGGTTGCACAGCCACAGTCAGAAGATGTCGAGGTAATAAGTCCCCGCGTACTTGAGGAAGGAATTCCTCAAGAGTCACTTGCTGAAGGATTAGACCTTCAGCAACCTGTGGAAAGAAGTTCCCACGAAGAAACTGAGACGTTGAACGTCTTGGTTAATGACGGATTAAGCGTAGGCTTACACGCTTGATCTGATTGTGCCTCCGAAGTTAACTTCGGAGATAACTCAGTTGCCAACGCTAGTACCGAAACGGTTCTTGCGTGATCTGCGTAGTGGCAAAGTCACGCAGATCTGCATACTCGTCACAGAGGACGAGTATGTGACGGAAATTAGGTCGGCAACAGTATATGCCAAGAACGAACGGGTTCTATGCAGCTCATCGATGGACGAAAGTGTCCTCGATGAGAAGACTCGGATTGAGCGATACACGTCTCGACCCTGGGAGTCACTTCAGGCAAATCCTTTGTATATGGATTTGATCGAATTCAGGGATGTGTTCCTTGAATCCGTACCTTGCGAGTTGCCTAAGGACAAAGGCACTCGACACAAGATCGAGCTCAGACCGAGCTCGAAGTATTGTATCATGAAGCAGTGGCCACTGCCTCGTGAACAAGTACTAGCGATCGACAAGTTCTTTGCGGATCGCTTAGCAGCGGGCCATGTGAGGGAATCAACATCCCCTCACAGCTCTCCGACCTTCTGTGTGCGAAAGGCCACAGGAGGGTGGCGGATAGTGTACGCAATCAACAAATTGAATGCTGCAACGGTACCGGCTCAGACGCCGATACCGAGGAAGGAAGTAATCATAGATGGTATGTCAAAGAGTACCATCTTTTCGTCCATGGATCTGATGAATGGCAGCTATCAGGTCCTCATGCATGAACGGGATGTTCCGTACACGGCAGTGAGCACCTTCAGCGGTATGTTGTGGGAGTGGCTAGTGATGCCACAGGGTCTGAATAATGCCCCTGCTACTTTCAACAGATGTGTGACAAATCTGTTGAGACCGGTGCGAGACTTCGCACCGAGTTACTTCGACGATGTGTTCGTCCATAGCCGGGCTATGGACGGAAAGACGGAAGTTGAAGTTTACAGAACTCACGTTCGTCAAGTCCTATAACTTATGCGCAAGCATAGGTTGTACGCGAACCTCAAGAAGTGTATATTTGCGGCTAGAAAAATACCACTTCTTGAGTGCATCGTGGGTAAACACGGCGTACGCCCTGATCCCGAAAAGATCATGGCGATCACCGAATGTCCAGTGCCAGTCGATGTCAAGGGACTTCGAAAGTTCCTTGGGCTAGCGGCGTACTTGCACAAGTACTCAGGCAACTACGCCGAAATGACGTTACATCTTTCTTGTTTACTCAAGAAAAATGTCAAGTGGTCATGGAACGCTGAGCGCCAGCGCTCCTTCGAAGGATCAAGCGGAGCTTGATGCAGTCGCCGATATTGGAGATTGCAGATCAGGACAGACCATTTCATGTGGTCTGTGACGCCAGCGATTTTGCAACCGGCTGTGCGCTAATGCATTTCGATGCAGATGGCGCAGAGCGCGTCATCTGCTATCAGTCGCGTCAGCTGCAAGCAGCTGAGCGTAATTACCCAGTGCATGACAAGGAACTCCTTGCCATGAAATATGCACTGGCTAAGTTTCGCGTCTATCTCCTCGGAAATAGACCGTTTGTTGTCTATACGGACCATGCGTCACTACGCACGGCCGTAAACAGCCCACACCTCTCGCAGAGGACGGCGAGGTGGCTGTCTTTCTTCGCGGAGTACAACTTCTCCGTGGTGTAAAGCTAGGATTACTTATCGTAGTCGCTGATGCGCTGTCCCGCCAGGACGATTCCGAGCCGGTCGCACAATCCAACAGTGAGGATAAGCCCACTGTTGCTACACTGAGAGTCAATGTTTTGTCGTCAAGTAAACTTGACGACGTGCGTTAAGCCTATGCGGGAGAGTATAGACTTTTGCGATTGATGGATCATATAATGAGCCATCGCGTAAATCTTTAAAGGTTGATCGGCTTTGAACCGTTCCACATCGTATCAGTACCCAACACGCAGCGGAATACTGTACTGTACAGCCGTTGACGGCGATACGCCTCAGTCGTCGTCCTGGCTCATAACAATTTTCGCCTGTGCATAATGTATGAGTGTAACGATGACCTAACAGGTGGTCACCGTGGTCGGGGAAAGACTTACCTTGCGGTAAGTCGTTACTTATACTGGCCCCGACTCCATCAGTTTACACGCATGTATATTCGTGCTTGCGAGGTTTGTCAACTAGTGAAGTCCGGGCCTTCA